ATTTATGGCTGCTTTCAGGCTACAACAGCAGAGCAGGGACCTCCCAGCCAGCAAGCCCTAAAATATCTAATCCTTTCCAGAAAAAATTGCCAATCTGATTTAGAGAATAATTTGATCTCTGGGTTTTCTTCTATTTTCCAAGTATTAGATATTGCCGTTCAAATTATTTCAGTTGACAGGGAGATTTTTATTTTACAAAACTGAACATCTTTGACTCAAGCATATATCATAGCTCAGACAAAAAGTTCAATGGTTTGGTTTAGGACTCAGATTAATATAGTTTCTCTGCTTTGGGGGCTTGGTTCTTGTCCTTGAGAAGGTTTTTACAAACATAGAACAAAGTGGGCAGGTAACACAGAATGCCTTTTGCTTTGGAAAATGTCTTTTACTCAAGGTTGAACATACACTGCTCCTCCTAGCATTAAGATTCCATGATTCTCTCTATATTCCATTGGCTTAGCTAATCCTGTTTTCACCAAAGGTCCAGATATCATTTGTTGGCACCTGGCTTTTCCCATAAATAGAAGTATATCCTCTTCCAAGTTCTTTAATAGATACCTCTTCAAAGCTAAACATTTGAAAAGAAATACACTGACCCCCAAACGCTAACGTATTTTATGAGTCAGTCTTTTGAAGCTAAATGTATCTTACAAGAACTCTGCAGTGACTTCAGAATTGGAATCCAGCCTTCCAACTCTTCCCACAGATGTTTGATCATATGTGATACTTTCATCTCCCTTCTTTAAACCTTTTACTATGGAAATTTTCAAACATATAAAAAAATAGAGAGACTAGGCCCCAGCAACCAACTTCAACAAGTATCAACATTCTGCCATTTATTTTTCCATCTATCCCTCTCCTGACTTTGTATTTACTGTTTGTTGCAGTATTTGATAGCAGACTTCACACATCAAATGATTTCACCCACGAATGCTTGTTTCTGTTAGATGAGGCCCTTTTCCTTTGAACAAAACCATGACACTATTATCATATCCAACAAAACAATTCTTAATATTATCTAATACCCAGTCCAAACTCAATTTTCCCTGTCTCAGTTATGTATTTTTATAGTTGGTTTGTTCAACTAAAGATCCAAATATGACCATATATTGTATTTTGTTGATAGGTCTCTTAGGTGTCTCCTTATATTTGCAATAGGCTCCCCTCATTTTTTATTCACCCATCACTGACACACCATTTAAATTCTAATTGGCCAAGCAAACCTTACCAACAATAACACCTCTTCAGCCTCCATATGCTATAAGCAAAACCAGACATTCATAGGCTTGTAGATCCTTAGGCACAGACATACAGCTCCACCTTCCATGTGCAATTCAACATGAAAACCAATACACCAGGCCATCCCACATACTTTCTGCCTTCAAGAGAAGAAATTTAGATTGCTTCAGCAAGCCAATTCTCTGAAATCAAATCTCTTCTGTGCTGCAATGGCCTGAAGACTCTGAATGATTTAAAAAACAAGACATCCATTCATTATGGCTCCCTTTTGAAATTAGCCAAACATAATAAAGAATCACAAAGTAAATCAGACAAAAGCCTTGTAATCCATTATCGTTAACATTAACAACATTAATTGAGCACCTAGATCACGCAAGACATCGGATTATAGAAAGGATGACCTGTGTCCCTACCCCAAGGGACCTACAGTCTAAACAGAGAGGCGTCACATCATTTAGACACAAATGCCCAAGGAGGACCACAGTCACAGTACCACCCAAACTGACATCCATTTCCTATCCCCTAGGTTAAGAATATTTATGAGGTTGATCCATGCGGTGGAATAAAAAGAAAAGAGCAGAAGGAACTGCATTTGACTGAATTCCACCACTCATGAGCTATGCCACAATGGATAAGTTACTCAACCTGATCCTCAGTTTTCTCATCTGTAAGAGGAATAATCCCACCTACCTCACAGAGTAGCAGCTGGTAACACTGAATCATAAGCTCTTACGTAAAAATCCAGCAAAGATGATGATGATGATAAAAATCACTGAATACAAAGCACTAGACTAAAATGTTTTCTGTCTATCCATCTAACCCTCACACCAGTCCTATGAGACAGCTCCCATTCTCATGCCATTTTCCAAAGAACTGAACAGAATGGGTGAGTGTTTCACCCAACGTAACAGGGCTACAGGTGTCAGAGCGCCAGGAGGTAGAGGATAAAACTTCAGGGTTCTTTCTGCCAATAACGGTATGATAATACCTCCCAATACTACCATGGGGAGGTGTAGGGGTAGAAGCAGGGCGGCACGAATGAGCGTGCCCTCGCGTACAGATCAATTATGTTATAAACTCCCAAGGTACAGCATTCCACAGCTCCTACCCTTGCCCAAACAGGAAGCCCCCAGGAGGCTCCTAGAGTTGTCCTACCCAAGGTGTGATTATGTTCAGAGACGTAATTCCTTCCTTATTGGGGCAAGTCTTCAGCTGTCTGCTAAAGAGTTATCACAAGTCTCAAACACTAACATTTGTTCAAAGATTTGTCCAAAGATCATAATTTTTTCCTATATAATCCCTTACTTCCTTTTTTGTACATACATAGGCAAAAAAGGACTGAAGACAGGCAGTCATCAGAAAAGAGGTGCAACTACCCTGTGGCCACTATACTGTAAGAAGGCTTACCTAGCCTAGGTTCAAGTGGAAAGGGCACCTGATGGAGAACTGAGGTCCTGGCCAATAGTCCTGGCAGATCTCCTAGCCAACAGCCAGGACCTATGCCACCCACGTAAGTGACATCATTCGGACTTCCCCAGATGAAACCACATTAAGCAGAATCACCACCCAGTCTACCCACAGATTTGTGGGAAATCAAATGCTGTTGGTTTAAGCCATTGAGTTTTGGGGTGGTTAGATAACTGAAACAGCTAGAAAATAGCTTTCCAGTCAGACCAAATACCAAATCTATGAATGAGAAGCACCACATGGCAGCTAAACATTGTTTATCAATGGAAATGATACAACTCCTTCAATCTGAGCATGCCTACCAGTTGAAACATGCAGCTCGGTAAACCTGGATCTATACTGTACCGGGCTCAACAGTGTTAAATAACCACTAATAATGACCACATTAATCACAGTAACAGCAGCCAATATTTACCAAGTGTTTATTACATAGTAGGCATTGTGCTAAATCCTTTAATCATTTAATTCCTTACAAAAGCCTTTTGAGGTGGGCTGCTATAATGCCCATTTTACTGATGAGGTCGCTGAGGCGTAGAGTGGTACATTGACTTGCCTAGGATCACACTGCTAGTAAACAGTGATACGGGATTTCACTCTTGGCCATTGGATTCCACAGACACCGAGCTCTTAACCGTCAGCTTTTGACCTTTCAAAAGTGTTATGCTACTTTAACAAAACCGCCCCTTGTTTTGTTTTGTTTTTTTGGGACGGAGTCTTGCTCTGTTGCCCAGGCTGGAGTGCAGTGGCGCTCACTGCAACCTCTGCTTCCCAGGTTCAAGCGATTCTCCTGCCTCAGTCTCCCAAGCAGCTGGAATTAGAGACGTGTGCCACCATGCCCGGCTAATTTTTGTATTGTTAGTAGAGACAGGGTTTTATCATGTTAACCAGGCTGGTCTCAAACTCCTGACCTTAAGTGATCTGCCCGTCTCTGCCTCCCAAAGTGCTGGCATTACAGGCCTGAGCCACTGCACCCAGCCGAGACTGCGCCCTCTGAGTTAATGTGTGTCAAGAGTTCAACACTGGGCCGGGCGCGGTGGCTCACGTCTGTAATCCCAGCACTTTGGGAGGCCGAGGTGGGCAGATCACGAGGTCAGGAGATCGAGATCATTCTGGCTAACATAGTGAAACCCCGTCTCTACTAAAAATACAAAATATTAGCCAGGCATGGTGGCAGGCGCCTGTAGTCCCAGCTACTTGGGAGGCTGAGGCAGAAGAATGGCGTTAACCCAGGAGGTGGAGCTTGCAGTGAGCCGACATCCTGCCACTGTGCTCCAGCCTGGGCTACAGAGCAAGACTACGCCTCAAAACAAAAGAAAGAGTTTAACGCTGTCTGGTCCATGGTAAGTTTTCAGTACATACCAACTTTTACTATTAGGAAACCTACAGGTATGGAAGGAAGGATGAGAGGAAGTACTGTATATGACTGCCGTACAGTACACCCCCAATTAATGTTAGTTATTTGGATGATTTATATAGGGCTTCTTCACCAGCAGCACTCGGGTGCTTGGTATCTTTCTGTTTCCCACATTCTGTGAGCTCCCTGCGTGTAGAGCTGTTTCCAACACATCCTTGCAGGTCCGGAGCCCAGAGCAAGTAGCTGCTCAATAAATGTTTCTTGACGGGAGAGGAAATGCTTCCTTCCTTCACCACAAATGCGAACTTGGATTTCCAAGATGACACCTCCCCCAGCTACCAGCTCTTAACATGATTTCAAAGAAGAGGGCAAGAAGGGACAAGGGACCCACCCAAGAAATGCGGGGGCCAATGGACTCCATGGGATAAGAGATGGAGCTGGGCTTGTGGCCAGGACACTTGAGAAGTCCGTGAATTCCGTGGCTGGCCACACCGAGAGCGGCACCTCCCCAACCCCCTAGCACTCCTAAAAGTCCCTAGGAAAAGGGCGAGGCCCTGAGAGGGAAGTCACCCAACTCCCAAGTGGCGGGCCCCCCCGCCCTGAGTCGACTAGGACTTGGAACTACCCCCTGCGCCCATCCCGGGGCAGCTGCAGGCGTAGGAAGAAAAGAGGTGACAGGAAGTCAAAAGTTTCCCCAACAACAAAAATCCTTCCCCCGAGGGAAGGGCTCCCACCCTCAGCCCGCCCCGCCCAGCGGGGAGGGACCGCCCCGCCCAGCGGGGAGGGACCGCCCCCAGTGGATCTAGGCAGTTGGGGGTCCCGCTGTTCTGGTCCTGACGAGGAGGGCCTGGCTTGAGAGTTCCCTGCCCCGCGCTTCGTGCACCCTGAATTCTTTGAGAGCGTCCCAGAGAGGGATAGGGGTGCCCCAACTCTTACTTACAGTCGTCTAAGTCATCCTGCAAGTCCACAAAGTACAGGGGGATCTCTGAAAACCAAGAAACACACAAGGAGTTACCAGGGGGCTGCGGCGAGAGAGGACGGGGTCGGGCAGGGGCCCCTCGGCCTCGCGGGGTGGTCACGGGGCGAGAGGGAGGGAAGCACCCCTGGCGTCCCCCGAACCCAACCCCACTCACCCGCCATCTTGGGATGGGCCTGGAGGCGGGACGGACAGGGGTGGGGGAGCCTGTAGACAGGGGCGGGGCCGTAGGTTTCAGGCCCCGCC